GTATTGTGGAACCTGGCCTTGGGCGGGGCTAGTTTCAATTTTTTTTTTTTACTGTTTCTTTATTTTTATTGCTTTTTCTTTTTTTATTCAATTATTTCTTCTTATTTTTATTACCGCTGCCGCCCCACTGCGCTCTGCCGCCCCGAGGCCGGGCCTCGGTGGCCTTGTGCAAAATCCGGGCCTGCAGCCAGGGCCCTCCCTATAATGAGGCAGCCTGAAGCCAAGTGGGGAGGCAGCAGGTAGAGTGGCAGGACCGCTCAGCTGCACAATGTTTGCAGTGCGTCTGCCACCCCCTTTCTGGCCAGAGCATCCCAGGTTGCTAAGAACCGGGCAGGGAGATGTGTAAGGGCCGTACATATCTCCCCGCCCAGCTCTTAGCAACCTGGGATGCTCTGGCCGTTGTCCCGCTCAGCTCCTGGCAACCAGTGATGTCACTAGCTGCCAGGAGCTGGGCAGGACGCCCGCCAAATGATGCAGAAAGGGCTAGGAACACCCTTGGTCACAGGGTCACCTTGCATGCAAGGTCTAATGTCGGTATGGAGTTTGATGGAGATGTCTCAATAATGGGTGGGAGATTAGGCTCATAAAAGGTGGTAGGGAAGACCTAGGCACATAAGGTGAAAAGGAGGAAGGGGCATTAAACACATGTGAAGGAAGGGGATAAGGTAAGGTTACCAGATTATCATCATGACCATGCCCTTTTACTACACCTAGCAAACCACACCCCCATTTGTAGCCACACCCACACAATCATGCCTCCATTTTTTTTTAGCATACCCTGGAACAATGGATCAGACTTTTGGAACAAAAGGCAGATATTTAAGTCATAAAGACAAAATGCCCTGGGCACTAAGAGTAGTGAAATTGTGGGTCAGGCCAAACTGTGGTAACAGTGGAAGTGGCTCAAGGGGTATGCGTAAATAAAACCTGAGCCTACTCTGCCATGGTGCATGACGGCAGTGGGTTCACAAGGGGGGGTTGCGCCCCACAGCAGGTGACACCATCAGAGGGGGTGACACCAAAATGGCAGTCATTTTGGTGACAACCCCTCTGAAAAGTTAGGCATGCGGTCATGGACCGAGTGCCCGACAGCTGCATGACAGAGGAAGGGACTCAGCGGCCAACCGGATGACTGTCCCCTCCTCTCTCCGCCGGCGCTCATTACCTAGATGGCCGCCGGCAGTTAAGTGTGCATTACGGTATTACACACGTGCATGATGACATGCCAGCAGGTGACACCACGGCCTGGGGACGCCTCTGAAAAGCGGACGGAGTGCAGGGTCAGAAAGGCGTAACACAGAACACATTCAGGTCAGAATTGCGTGGCATAGAGTGCATGCAGGGAGCAGACCACATGCCCTCAGAATGGAAAGGGTAAATTGCCAGGGGGCCTTGCCTGCAAAGCACCTTGTCCTCAAGATGCCTAAGAGGATGTGGGGTTGGCAGAGGGGGACATATCGGAATCTGGAAGCCCCCTTTAAAATAAGGGGATCAGAGATATCTGCTGCCTCAGGGTGCAACGTGCCCCTTGTTTCCCATTCACACAAAAAGGAGTGGAGAAAAAACAAACGGGGTTTAAATGATTTGACTGAAGTGACACAACTTACCACCATTTTATGGTAAATTATAAGTAGTTTTGCTGCTTGCAGGTCTCAGCAGAATCCAAGGTAAAGTGCAGGCCAGTTCAGACAGCGAGGGAGGGATGAAATATCCCCTTCTCTTACCTGTACGATGACATCTTTCCAAATAACGAGTGGGCACTTTAAGAAGAGATCGCTCGTTACGTTGCAAAGTTAGCCGGCAGATGTGGGGTTATCGCCGTGAATACGCGCATGCGCAGTCCGGCCAAGGAAAACTACAGAATTACACGTGATACTGAATCTACTACTACACCGGAAGCTGAAGTTGGACGGTGGGCTGTGCGGTTCCATGTGGTCCAGCTGGGGATGCAGCGCGGTGGCCGGGCTCCTGGGGGCGCTGGCAGCATGCTCTGCCAAACTAGCGCTCGGAGCGGACTACCTGAGGGAGCTGTGTGTGGCGTACGCCGGGGAGCGGGCGGAGCTCTGTGATTGGGTGAGGGGCTGTCAATGGGGGGGACGCTGTCACGTGGGGAGGGGGTCAGAGCTCTGTGACTGGGTTAAGAGCTGTCACTCTGGGGAGGGCGCCCAACTCTGTGATTGGGAGAAGAGTTATCATTTTGGGGAGGGGGCGGAGCTCTGAGTGGGTGAAGAGCTGTCACTCTGGGAAGGGGGTGACGCTCTGTGATTGGGTGAAGACCTGCTACTCTGGGGAGGGGGTGGAATTCTGTGATTGGGTGAAGAGCTATCACTCTGGATAGGGGGCGCAGCTCTTTGGGTGAAGAGCTACCACTCTGGGGAGGGGGTGGAATTCTGTGAGTGGGTGTGGAGCTGTCACTCTGTGGAGAGGGCACAGCTCTGTGAGTGGGTGAGGAGCTGTCACCCTAGGGAGGTGGCGGAGCTCTGTGAGTGGGTAAGGAGCTGTCACCCTAGGGAGGTGGCGGAGCTCTGTGAGTGGGTAAGGAGCTGTCACCCTAGGGAGGTGGCGGAGCTCTGTGAGTGGGTGAGGAGCTGTCACTCTGGGGAGAGGGCGCTGCTCTGTGAGTGGGTGAGGAGCTGTCACTCTGTGGAGAGGGTGCAGCTCTGTGAGTGGGTGAGGAGCTGTCACCCTTGGGAGGTGGCGGAGCTCTGTGAGTGGGTAAGGAGCTGTCGCCCTAGGGAGGTGGCGGAGCTCTGTGAGTGGGTGAGGAGCTGTCACTCTGGGGAGAGGGCGCTGCTCTGTGAGTGGGTGAGGAGCTGTCACTCTGTGGAGAGGGTGCAGCTCTGTGAGTGGGTGAAAAGCTGTCACAGAGATAGATACTGAGGGAGCACTGGTCCCAAGAGTATGTGTGACTTGGTGTGGTCTCTGATCTTGAAAAGCAGCTCTCTATCATTAGGAGTATCCCATGACTCCCTGAAATAATCCAGAAGAAAATGTAGAGTGAGAGCACCTCAACCATATAACTAGACCAGTATAACTTTATTAATCTTGGCACAATGTCCATAGAAAATATCTAACGCGTTTCGGGGGCTGCAACATACCCTTCATCAGGGCTTACACTGACAATGAATGGTGAAGAACTGGGCAAAAAGTATAAAACATCAGTGTTTAGGCTGATGACAGTGCAGGCACCAACTGACAGCCATGGGACATTTACACATGATGTGTGTATGGGGCATAAGGGCTAATGCACGCAGCCAATTACTGGCCAAGGTCAGTGTATTTCTGGGGTGGGTACAGCCATGTGCTTCTGATCAGCTGCGGGCAGGAAACCTGTACAGATCAGTGCCTGGGTGAAACTGATTGCATGTAATCCCTCATGGATGAGTATTTTTGCAAACTCCTTTTCTTGGGGGTCCATTGAGGGACACAGGTCTCACCCTCTGTGTTTATGATCATGCTGTTGATACTGCTTTGGAACAAGACCGAGGCATGCCGGTTGTAGGAGAGTTAATACTCTGGGCTGACATACAACATTTTTGTTTGTCAGTGTCCATTCCTCCTGTAGGCAGCAGTATAACCCGAAGGTTTAAGACTTCCTGTGGCCCTCAATAGACTCCAAAAAAAGGATTTAATGGTGGGTACAAAAGATCCTACTTTTACATTTGTGAGTCCAGTTTGTTCCTGCTGGCTTTGTGGATGAAAGACTCGGAGAAAAGTAAACTATGTCCTTGTCATTGCAGATCCACCTCCTGCTTCGTCTTTGCTGTATAGGACTTGTGTTCCTGTGCAACGCTGCTATGTGGACATTCTTTGCCAAAGCATTAAGATCCTCCTCCTCTTCAGCAGCTGCAACTGTAACCACAACTGCTTCAAATTTTATTTCATCTGTAAGTAGTTCATTAGAGGACGGCTATGTTTCCTTTTCCCTTCATTTGACATTGGTGTGCTTGGCATCAGTATAAAACCCCTCTCCCCAATCGTGTGCAGTGGCGTCAATATAAAACCCCTCTCCCCAATGGTCTGCAGTGGCATCAATATAAAACCCCTCTCCCCAATGGTCTGCAGTGGCATCAATATAAAACCCCTCTCCCCAATGGTGTGCAGTGGCGTCCATATAAAAACCCCTCTCCCCAATGGTTTGCAGTGGCGTCCATATAGTACCCCTCTCCCCAATGGTGTGCAGTGGCATCAGTATAAAACCCCTCTCCCCAATGGTGTGCAGTGGCATCAGTATAAAACCCCTCTCCCCAATGGTGTGCAGTGGCGTCAATATAAAACCCCTCTCCCCAATGGTGTGCAGTGGCATCAATATAAAACCCCTCTCCCCAGTGGTGTGCAGTGGCGTCAATATAAAACCCCTCTCCCCAATGGTGTGCAGTGGCGTCAATACAAAACCCCTCTCCCCAATGGTGTGCAGTGGCATCAATATAAAACCCCTCTCCCCAATGGTGTGCAGTATCGTCAATATAAAACCCCTCTCCCCAATGGTGTGCAGTGGCATCAATATAAAACCCCTCTCCCCAATGGTGTGCAGTATCGTCAATACAAAACCCCTCTCCCCAATGGTGTGCAGTGGCATCAATATAAAACCCCTCTCCCCAATGGTGTGCATTGGCATCAGTAAACGTCCCTTTCCCCAATGGTGTGCAGTGGCATCAATAAACACTCCTCTCCTCATTGGACTCTGCTTATTGTAAATCCAGGCTTAAAGCCCAATTGGAGGGAGAGAGGGAAGGGGGAGGGCACCGCTGACTCTGGCTCTAGAGAGGCAGAGCCAGCTGTCACTTAGGCAGTGGGGGTGGATATCAGCAATATTGTTGGGATCTCTCCCGTTTGCAGCGCAGCTCTGCACGGTCACCATAAAGCAGGCATTAGCCACTATATGCTGACTTTGGGTCACAGATATCCAGTAGTAAATCTGGTCCTGTGACCCAAAAGAGAACTAAAGCAAACTAAAAAAAATAGATTTGGTTTTACTTTGAAACGATTTGCATACACATCTTTTCCCTTCATGGACAGAATCTAGTGCCCTTCTAACATACACATCTTTTCCCTTCATGGACAGAATCTAGTGCCCTTCTAACATACACATCTTTTCCCTTCATGGACAGAATCTAGTGCCTTTCTAACATATACATCTTTTCCCTTCATGGACACAATCTAGTGCCCTTCTAAGACACACATCTTTTCCCTCAATGGACAGAATCTAGTGCCCTTCTAACGTACACATCTTTTCCCTTCATGGACAGAATCTAGTGCCCTTCTAACATACACATCTTTTCCCTTCATGGACAGAATCTAGTGCCCTTCTAACATACACATCTTTTCCCTTCAGGGACAGAATCTAGTGCCCTTCTAACACACACATATTTTCCCTTCATGGACAGAATCTAGTGCCCTTCTAACATACACATCTTTTCCCTTCATGGACAGAATCTAGTGCCCTTCTAACATACACATCTTTTCCCTTCAGGGACAGAATCTAGTGCCCTTCTAAGACACACATCTTTTCCCTTCATGGACAGAATCTAGTGCCCTTCTAACATGCACATCTTTTCCCTTCATGGACAGAATCTAGTGCCCTTCTAACACACACATCTTTTCCCTTCATGGACAGAATCTAGTGCCCTTCTAACACACACATCTTTTTCAGGCATTTCTGGGCAGCGTGCTGTTTGGAGAGTCCCGCGCTATTCTCTGGTGGTTTGGAATTTCAATCACTCTCTGTGGACTGATTTTACTGCACACGTTTTCACCACAAGCAGAAGAGCCCGCAAAAAAGAAAAGTTAGAAGAGGCCATCGTTTGGATGATCAGTTTTATCTGGGTGCTTTGTGTACTTGTGTGCTTCTACCTGGGGGTCTTGAGTCTCACGTCCTCTGTTTCCTGCACAATTTAGGGGGGCATAAATGAGCAATTACAGCAACACAACCAATAAAGTTACCTTCTGTTCTGCCTTTGTATGGCAATGTAACAGGTTCCCTTTACTGCCACCCTCTCCAACTGTGCAATCTCAGCCTCCTTTACTTCCCTACCATTCTGTTTGGTCGCCAGGGACAAGGAGAAAATGGAAAGTAAGCAAAAGCAACAGGGTAGGGTGGCAGTTAAAGTAAATGTTCAGTCAAAATGTTGTTTTCACCAGATAACCTGTGCAAAAACCACTGCAATACAATAGAATAGGCAACCTCTGCATTCCAGCTGTGCTGAAACTACATATACCATCATGCATCTGCCTCTGGAAGTCAGGCTTGCAATGCCTCATGGGCTTGTAGTTCCATAACAGCTGGAGTGCTCAGGTTGCCTACCCCTGCAGTAGGACAATCCTCGGGCCCAGCAATACACATTCACTTTCCCCGATTTTTATTTCTGTCTCTGTCCCTGTTTCAGATTTTCCCTTACTTCCTTTCTGATGAAATCATTGTCAGCACGACAGGAAGTGAAGGTATATCTCAATGGAGTCCCAGATAGAAGTACAAACCTGTCATGCGTTCTTATCTTTCCCCACCCTATTCAATGGTAGAAAAATTGTTTTTGGCTTTACTTACACTTTAAGTGACCCTGCATAATGGCAAAGCACAGGTTTACTGTATTGCTCTGTATGAAATTCTACAGCTCCATCTTGGGCAGGTCTCAGGGTGAGACCCAAGAGATTATTTACCCAAGAGACCTTTATTTTATTTGTTCCATATTGGACACATCCCTGCACTGCTATTTTCTAGACAGATAAAAAAATAAAGATTGATGTTTTTGTTTCTACAAAGATTTATTGACGTTGTCCTTATATTCATAGTATCCTATCAAGAAAATAGTTATATGAAGGAGAGAGTAAAATATACTCTTCCCAATAGTTAGAGCCGGGTGTGACACTGCATCTGTTACACAGCGGCTTTATAGATTGAGAACTGAGCAATCACAAACTGCTGATCGCTGAGATCACGGCTTCGCCCTGCAGAGAGCGGTGACTGTCAGTCACCGCAGGGATTTCCCCCTCCCCTTTCTCTGTTTCCCCAGTGCTCATTGGAGGGACAGACAGGGGAGGGGGTGGGCACAGCTGGCTCTAGAGGGGCAGAGCCAGCTGTCAATGAGGCAGCAGTGTGGATCCTGACAATATGGTCGGGATCCTTCCCGGCTGCAGTGTGGCTCTGTGCTGTCAGCATACAATAGGCAGTAGCCCACTATATGCTGAGTTTGGGTCACAGACGCTAGGTAACAGCAATGAGCCTCAGAGCCTTGCGTCGCTGCAGTGCAATACACTGTTTACTTGATTTGCTACATGTCCTAGCAGTGACCCGAGTTGATCCGGTGTGGAAAAACGCAGGTCACTGCTGAATGTGTGAACCTGCCCCCCTTTGGTTGGCCAGAGCTGAATACTGTATTAAGGATAGGGATGTCATTTTCTGAGATGCTAAAGGAACACTTTTATCAAAACCTAAAATTGTGTAATACTGTACTTTATTGTTTACATTTTGCAATGGTCATTTTACCATTGATCTGGTTTCATATACACTACCTGGCTAAAAAATAAAGTCACACACTCTAATATTTTCTTGGACCGCCTTTAGCTTTGATTACGGCACCCATTCGCTGTGGAATCGTTTTGATAAGCTTATGCAATGTTACAACATTTATTTCTATCCAGAGTCGCATTCATTATTCACCAAGATCTTGTAGTGATGATGGGAGAGTCGGACCACTGTGTAAAGTCTTCTCCGGCACATGCCAAAGATTCTCAATGGGGGTAAGGTCTGCACTCTGTGGTGGCCAATCCATGCTCCCTGAACCGCTCCTTCACAATTTGAGCCCGATGAATCCTGGCATTGTCATCTTGGAATATGCCCAATGTGCCACCAGGGAAGAAAAAATCCCCTGATGGATAAACCTGGTCATTCAGTATATTCAGTGAGGCAGATGACCTGATAAGCAGAGCCAGCTGTCACTCACGCAGCTGGGTGGATCCAGACAGTATTGTCGATATCTGTCCTGGCTACGGCGCTCCCAGTATATCCGCTATATAGCCTGCTATATACTGAGCTTTGGGTCATGGGAGGTTAGTATATGTCTTCCCATGACCCTAAAGAGAACTATGGGGAAAAACACTTTCCCCATAGTTCTCTTTTAATGTAACACATTGGGTGTGTTATGGACAAGAATGGCACATTATCTGCACTTCTTATAAAAAGTAATTCTGTCACGAGTGAAATACAGGGGGCTGCCATATGTGATCTCCTCCTGAAAATGTTAGTTGGCCAACTGTTTTGCTGATCCACTTGATTTAACATTTTATGGGTTACTGATGAAGTATAAACATACAGATCAGGACTGTGCACTTATCCTCTATGCCCCTCCACTGACCTGAACTACCACACCCTCCCCATGTACGTACATATCTGGATGCTCGAGCTATGCCCCCCAGTGTTTGTTTACATCACATACCATACATCTGCACTGGCCACATCTGAGCAGTGGCTTCCGATAGTCTTCTCCAGGGCCATGAGGGCACAACCACCAAAACTAGGAAGGATGCATTAAGTAGAGGCAGGGCAGGTAGTTTAGGTCGGGCAGAGGGGCAGAAAGGTTAAGTGCCTCCATGTTTTTCTCATGGCAGGTCTGTTTTAAAGGCCCAATTTTTTATATGAGCTAACATACTGTATGTTAATGATCACGTTTACACTTGTAGTTGTGGTTAGATGTTTCGTTTTACATTTTCTTCTGCATATAAATCACATGTGACAGTTGGCAGGAACAGTGTGTTTGACATGCGGGAAAGGTGTACTTCACGTGCACTGACCCACCTAACAACTTTTACGCCTTTTAATGTTTTATAAACATTTGAACAGTGTATCATTTTCCCAGCTTGCTATGAAAATCCAAGATTATATTACATCTTTATCTGGCACCAATCCATCTATTTAACCCTGTTCCCTGCTGGTGCCCATTCACACCCATGTGAGCATGGCAATACACATGCGTGGGTATAATTGGGTCCCATTCGATATCTGTCCTGGCTACGGCGCTCTCAGTATATCCGCTATATAGCCTGCTATATACTGAGCTGTGGGTCATGGGAAAACTTACCCTTGCAGTGAGGCTACCCCCGCACTTCAAGGGTTAAGTGCTCATTTAGGTCTAGGGGCTGGAATAAAGCATTTACTTACCTGATCCTGGCTTCCACCGAGCTGCTAGACAGTTTCCCACAGCCTCTTCTTCCCCGGGCTCTGGCAGTCTAAGGACTGCTGACGTCATCACGACTTATGACCTTATGACCGACAATCCATTGACTTGCATTAGACGTGAGGACACTGAGGGACATTTCATAGCTGGAGCGGAAGGGAGAGAGTTGAACGCTGATCATCGCAGTACTTGCAGGGTGGGGGTAATCCCAATTGGAGGTTTTGAAGGAGTATGGAATGGTTTATGTCTGTGACCCCTATTGGGGAGATTTCCTCTCACTTCTTGCCCTCGTGAAGCCCACAAAAGGAATAGGGAGAGTGGTTGTCACTGGGACATAGACAGCAATATAAACAGAAGTTCTAACCCTTCCTCACTTTTGGTTTTATTCTCTTTTGCATAGAAGAGATTTCAAACTTCTTTCTGTCCTGAGAGTAAGGGGAAATCTCCCCATAAGGGCCACAGATGGCAAGTAAATCCTACAGAGGTTCTAACCCTTCCCTACACTTTCCAAAGCTAAATAAAATGTTTTGTTGGCGTTGTAAAAGAAATATGTAGGCTGCCATTGCTGATGATGCTAGTTATCTGCCTGTCATGTGGATCCTCGAGCTTTAATACATTCTGTATTACTGATCTGAGGCAGTATTAATTTGAGGAGTTCTGCCTTCACTTGGGGCATACTCGTTCTGAGCCAATGAAACATAATACCCTGTTTCCCCAAAAATAAGACCTACCCTGAAAATAAGACCTAGTACTATTTTTGGGAATTGCTAAAATATAAGACCTACCCCAAAAATAAGACCTAGTTGTGACCATTCCCAGGGCTGGTGGTGGCATAAGGGGGGAACTTGAAGAGCCGCGGGAAAGAATCAGCGGTGCCAATGAAGCCATCGCTGGAGGAAGCGAGGCGGCAGCAGAGGGAGCAGAGCCGCATAAGCCGATGCTTTCTCTATAGCGCCGGCTCCCGTCACTGGTGGAGTGATACCAAATGCACTCCGCCTGTGAGGAATCGATAGTGAAAGTGCGTTCCGCTCATTCTGGCTAGCAATTGGTTACCAAATTGCTCTTGGAAAGGTACGGCGGTTACCAAATTGCTCTTGGAAAGGCACCACTGATTACCCTGATCACCCTATTCTTAACTTTGCTATTCTGGAATATTTAATTTGGATTTGCGTTAACTTTGGATTGTTGTACATTAAAAAAAAAAAAATAAGACCTACCCCGAAAATAAGACCTAGTGTGTTTTTTTGAGCCCAAAAAAATATAAGACAGTGTCTTATTTTCGGGGAAACACGGTATTAAGACCAGAGGATCAGCATGGCAGTCAAGCTTTCAAGAAGCTGATCATCCATGGAAGCCCACCTATTTCTCTCATAACATGTTTCCAGACATAATTGTCGGGATCCGCTTCAGCAGCGGCGTCTTAGTATAGCGGTATATTGAGCCTAGGGTGATGGGAGGACGCTAGTTTGTGTCCTCTCGTTACCCTAAGGAGAACTATGGGGAAAAGCCTTAACCCCATAGTTCTCCTTTAACTTCCTCCCCACTGTAACCAATGAAATATATATATATTTTACTGTTTAAAGCCCATTCCGTGTGCACCTTACTGTAAAGCTGGTGATGAATTGATGAGTGAGTTTGTCATCTGTTTTGCTTGACTGTTTTTGTGCAGTGATGCATGGGGGGTCTCAGCTGCCATTAGGATGTGCGGGATCCATCCTTGTGTGTCTCTGTGCCTTTAAGGGGGTTGGGCTTCCTCCTGAC